AATTCAACAATATTTCTCAATTCAACAATATTTCTCAATTCAACAATATTTCTCAATTCAACAATATTTCTCAATTCAACAATATTTCTCAATTCAACAATATTTCTCAATTCTCTTCTAAGAAATCCTTCCTAGAAATGCGGAGATTTTCAAATCACTCCACTTGTTGCTATAGTCTTTTGCAAAGCTCACTGAGACATCTCTCAGGGCTGATTTTTTCTTTCTTGCCTCTTCCTGGGCTTCTTTTTTCTCCACAAAATTCACACACTAAATTTTTTTGCTACAATATAATGAATTTCCTTTCTCAAGTTTCGATAAATTTGATAAGTGCTATATTTTCATGTTTCTCACAAAATATGATGCAACAATTTTAGATATACTTCTTTGATTTTTGCTGGTTAATTTAAACACAGCGGTCTTCTTTCAAGATCTGTTGACACGGGAGAGTGTCAAGGGGATCCTTTCGTGGGCAGGGTTGCGCGGGGATCTCTTGGGTCAATTTAGACTCACAGATTTTGTATCACGTTTTTGTGTGATACTTGCGCTTTTTCTGGGTTGGCTGATCTGTGTAGATCGCTGGGTTGGGATCCTTCTGTCCTTTTTCAGATCTTTTTTGTTTTGGTGTGAACGCGGAGAGGAGACGTTGCGAGTGTGATACTTGCGCTTTTTCTGGGTCGGCTGATCTGTGTAGATTGATGGGTTGGGATCCTTCTGTCCTTTTTCAGATCTTTTTCATTTTGGTGTGAACGCGGAGAGGAGACGTCGCGGCGCACTTGCTCTCGGGGATGCGATTCAATTTGTTAACTTGGTCAAGTTGTATTGAACACTTCAAAATACACACTTGTCTGTACGATTCTTTAGTTTTTTAAATTTGCAGTTACGTACAACAAAATAGTAAGGGGAACTCACCCCACACAAAAATAAATTTAAAAAAGGTCGGGTCAAATTAACAAAAAGTTAAAGACTACCAACTGCGCCAATTTGTTGTCCCTAAACCGAGGTATAAATAAATGTTTGAGTTCAATAAAAATATGGTTCAAATATGTTCAATCCACAAATATTCGTACAATCTCACGAACACAAAAATAGAGAGCTTTTAAGAGAGTCTTGCTAAAACATTCTGCAAGTCTCTCTGAGAAATAACCGCAAATGATTCTAGATTAATTCTGAGGAAATATGTGGGAAGGAAGGTGTATTTATACCTTCCTGGAAACATAGAATATAGAGGCGAAATATTTGCCGAGGTTGAGGAACTGCGGGTTCCCTGAACACTCTTGATGAATACAAATATCCGGGTATCTCCGGGTATATATTATAAAGATGAATAACATATATACACTCCCGAGTTGGGCGGAATAGGCTTCTTCTAAATTAGCAGTTTAGAAGAAGGCAGTGCAAGTCATTTGTCACTGTCAACAAATAGCAAGTTGAAAAGGAGAAACGCGCAATAACGACCGTCACACATTAATGCGTGCCAACGTGAGAGAGGGGGAACCAAAACAAAAGGGGAACAGCTGCAAGGAAACGAATACCTTGTAGAGAAGGATCTCTCCCCATATATGGAGAAAAGAAAATAATCGCAATTCGGTTTCTGGGTTACAAACAGAACATGCCAGACGATGTACAATGTGTAGCATTCCATGGAATGCTACACATTACCAAACATTAGAGAACCTAATGGAATTCCAGTACCAAATGGAATGCTACACATTGTTTATCGTCCCAGTACCAAATGGAATGCTACACGTTGTAAAGCATCGCAGTACCAAATGGAATGGTACACGCTTTACAACGTGTAGCATTCCATGCTGGAATACTACACGTTGTAAAGCGTGTTGCATTCCAACATGTTCCAACATGTTGTGGCAAAGTTAAATGTAGGAAAGGGGAAAGCTTTACAATTTTAAGTGAAGCAATATGAAATCATCTTTTTTTTGCTATATACTCTATAAATAAGTATTGCAGAATTACATGAATGCTGTATGTGTATTATTTTAACATTGAAGACAATTTATATATGCACATCACTCTCGTGGAATCCATTATGTTTCAAATCGTGAAACACAAAAATTCTACACCCTCATAAATTGTTTTCTTTCCCTGACAGCATTCCCCAAAACTCCCTTACTTTTGTATGTGTAAATCACACGTTTCTGTGAGGTGTACTCAATCCTCAAACCATCAAGTTCTTCTAGGATGCGTAAAAAACGCATCCAATGTTTGAACCTCCTGACATGTTTTTTTGTGACGCGCATTTTACATGTTAAACCCCTGTCACTTTTGAACATGTAATTGTACTGAACATTTTGACATGTCTTTTCTTGAGTGAATATCGAGTTTTCTGGGAGCATGTCAGCATGAGATGCGCCTGCTTCATGTCACTTATTCAGATGTCACAAAGAAAGGGATCTTTATGCAAAATTTCACATGTCATTATCCTGCAACTTCCTGATGCACTTTCTCAAAATGCCTCAGGTTTTCCTGGGAGGTTTGGTTATATTATATTCTTAAAAGGAAGAATTAAAAATATGACAAGAATGTGAGTGTTATTCCAATAAAATTGTGTATGGCTCATCAATATCAAAAAACAGGTATACTTTAAACGAGTTTCTTTATGAAAACATAAGAGGATTCCAAATTGTTATACCTTTAAAAATCTTTAAATTGCTCCCCCCTTTCTCACTTGAATTTCTTCCTCAATGAGGGTCCTCTATTTATTTTTTTTTTTTTGCTGAACAGTGAGGGGTAATTGTTTCTCAAACTCAAGAGAAAGGGGGAACTGAGGTGGAAGGGGGAACTAAGGAAGAAGGGAGGCTAGGGATGGAGTGAGATTCTTCACCCCACCCCCCTCTTCCTAGCTTTTTGTCATCCTTTTGCAGTATCAGATATCCCACCTCCAGCTTTTTGGAGCAGAAATATAAAAAAAGGTTTTTATGACCTTTGAGGTGGAACTATGGAAGGATTTTTCAAACTTTGGAGGTGAGACAATTGAAGAACATCCTTTTTTTAATTTTAAGGAGGAAATGGATTATTACTGATTTTAAGAAGGAAATGGATTTCCTGATTTCAAGAAGGAAATGGATTTTCCTAATTTATATAAGGAAGTGGATTTTCCTGATTTTAAGAAGGAAATGGATTTTCCTTCTTAACAGCTGGTGATGGGGATATTTGGTTCCCAGGAATGATGGAAAAAAGATGGGAAAACAAGAGATGGAGTATCCCATTTCCCCTCCAGTTGAAGAAACAATTCCCCTGGCCTGCTCAGCAAAAAATAAATACAAATGGGAAAATAAGACCCTCCTTTCTCTGGAAACATAATTAAAATCAGAAGGTGTAATCATGTTGCAAATTCATCAAGTTTTTAAAATGTAGAATCTTTTTAGCATTTCTATAAAAAATCTCAGAAAATGTTTGTCAAATTTTATAAAACTGTGAAATTGATGCATAACTAGGAAGAATGCCTGGGGTACACATTTTTGAAGCATATTTAAGACCACTACCAATATTTGCACTACTGCACTGCCCCTTCCACCACCAACAAATTTATCTTTGCATTACCACTACCACTATCAAAATTTCATTTCTCATCACCACCACTACCAGTAGTGGTAGTGGAAGCAGGAACTAGTGGACTGATCAACAACCCTGGTAGTGAGTAATCAACCGCTTGCATGTTATTGGAAGAAACAAGGCAAAAGCCACTGGTGTTAAAGTGAAGAGTTCAAACCGCACCTGTTTGAAACGACCCCAGTGTTTTATTACTTCTTTTACTTGATGACAATTTCTCATTGAAAGCTTTCTGGGGGATTTTTCGTAGCGAATTTATATTTTTATTTTCTCACTTGCTCATTATTTTTTTCCAAGTTTTTATCTTGATTTTATTTTTGTATTTGTAGTAAGATTTGGTGCTGCGTCCAAGCATGAAGCATTCCCTGAAACCCCAAAAGTCGAGGATATTCCGGGACGCAGAAGTCTTAATACAGTAGCAGATTTACTTGCTGGGGAAGAAGAAGCTATCGAGTTGGATGGGATCATCAACGTTGCGCAGCAGTTTCGAGAGCTGCGTGAGAAGGCTGAGAAACACGCTTTCCAAACTGAAGTCAATGGTATGATATGAAGCTCATCATCAACTCGTTGTACCGTAACGAGGACATCTTCTTGCCTGAGCTGATCTGTATAATGCCTCTGATGCCCTGGACAAGATCCGTTTTCTTTTGCTGACTGGGAAATCATCACTTTTTGATGCCACTGATGAGATGAATATCAGGATAGAGGCAGACAAGGACAATCACTTGCTGCATATAATCGATACCAGTGTCCGGATGAAAAATCAAGATATCATGAACAATCTTAGAACCATTGGCAAGTCCGCGATCGACTGTAGAATTCATCAGCAAGATCACAGACACTGAAACCAAGTCTGATGATGTCGGGGATTTGATCGGACAATTCGGTGTTGGATTCTATTCCGCATTCTTAGTTGCCAATACAGGGATCCTAACCACCATGCACAATGACAACAAGCAGTACATTTGGGAGTCTGATGCATCTTCCTTCACTATTGCCAAGGACAGTTTGTGCTGGATTAAGGTGGTTGCTATTGATGCTGTAGCATTAGGCCCAGCACCAGGCAAATATAGGCCCCCTGAGAAGTTAAAAATTAAATTCCCCAATCTGGTGAATTTCAAATTTAAAATTCTGCAAGCTGAGGAGTTCAAACTTTTGAGAGAGTATGAAAAGTTTGCAAAAGCAAAAAAGAGAAGAGTATTGAAGATTTTACAAATTAGGCATTAACCAATCAATTCACACTGCAGTATGCTTGAATTAAATTGGTTTCTATGTGCATGAACATAGAAACCCTTTACCAAGAAACCGAATCATGGAAATGTCCTTGGTTGAGAGAACAGAATCATGCCTCTATTAAAAATATATCCAGGCCTATCATCAAAAACAGGAAAGGCTGTGTCACAGACATCATAGGAAGAAAAAAACCAATCAAAGATTTCATTTCCAGTCATGCCCTGGCGGTGGTATAAAAGTGTCTCTCCTGTGAGTTCTGTCCCCACTTCAAAAGCCTGTGGTGGCTTCAAAAATCTTCTGAAGCAATTTTTATGGTGTTTGAAAATTACAATATTTTTTTTTGAAGAATCAGTGATTTATAAATATAACAATTGTGATGTAGAAAACTAATTCATTTAATTCATTCCCTGCTGTGCCCCCTTATCCCCATCCCCCCTTTGTCATTGTTCTGAGTTCCATAAATTCAAAAGTCCCTTTTTTGCAAAGAAGATTCTTTTTGAACACCCCCTTAAAAAAACCTGTTTCACCTTGCATCCTGGGAAACAGGAAGATTTCCCCCTGCAATGTTCTATACTGTGCACCAGGCCAAGGGTATCTTGTCCAAGCCATATTTTCTATAAGGAATTCTAGTAGCAGGAGTGTGGCAGACTGAGATTTTTACTCTTTACATATCTCTGTGTTCCTTGTAGTGGAAAAATATGTCTTCATCTTGAATTCTTGTCAGATTTTAATATAAGAAAATTGACAGTTTCAATATGTGTTTTCTATATTGACCATTGCTCTATATAGTTTATATAAACATTTTGGAGGGGATCAAGATATTCCAAGTTGCTGAATGTTATTTCTCCCTGCTTTTTTCTTGGAGCCTCTCACTACATTCCAATGCAAACACTGCAAGATTTTTTTGCAATAATAGCAATGTGAAAATTTGAGACAATTTCTAAATCTTAATCAAACTTTTTGGAAGGATTGTAATAAATTATTGTATGGAACTTTTTCCTCACTTGAGCATTCATTCAGAAATGCCTTTTTTTCTTCATGTGCTCATGGGATGGGCACCAAATTTTTTACAATATCCCAAGTAATCCACACAGCATGGGTTAAAATTTGGTGACTTTTTTTAATGTGGAATGAGTGGTTGTAATTTTTACATGCAATCAAAGTTAAAGTTGAAATTATAATGAGAAATTTATGTTTTTAGCACAGACACATACTTCATCATCATGAATTTCTTTGGATATGTTCATCATTTGTGCCACGAGTTGAACAACTGATATTTTTATGCCCATTCCTATCCTAACCAAACAATTTAAATTATTCTCAAATGCACTACTGAGTTTTGTCTTGGAGCATACACTTGGAAATTTTCAATTTAGATACATTTTCACATTGTTCTTGGATTTATGTCACTGTTAATAAATGCTTAATGGAGGCAAGGTGGGGCATTCTCACTTTTGAGTAATTCAAGTGATATGTGTTTTAAGAATGGTAAGTGGGGGGAGGGTGTCATACACTATCTGTAATATTTGAACACAAAAACAGCCTGTTGGCTAATAATTCAGGTTTATAATTTGTTATTTTGTTTTCAACTGTGAATTTTGTACAAGCATAATCCAAAGCTTTGAAAGAGTCACTTTGAGTGTTTTGGTAAATGCCACATATGCAAATCAACTTTTTTTGTCATACCTGTCTGATGCTCCTTCAAACAGAGGAGCATATATCCTAGGACAATGTTTACTTGTAAGAAAGGCATACAATTCAGAATGTAGCTAAAGAATTTCCAAAAAAATATGTGAGGTACATTTTAGAACACCAAACCTTCTCTACAAAAATCTGTAGTCTCTCGAAAAATTGAAATGCTGCACCTTTTCATCTTTCTTTTGTATTCCTTCCACCATACATGAAATCATTCCTATAGTCTATGCACAGAATCAAGCCCAACATTTTGCTATGATTAGACAACAGCCTAAATGAGTTCATTACAATGATATATCCATAACATGGTGCCTACCATGGAGAAACTGCCAGGACCAAGAAAAATGCATTATAAGAAAAGTGTATTGCAATGATATTTCTTAAGGTGAAATTTTACCATATCTTTGTGTGATTGAATTCTAGCCTCAGATATATGTCCATTGTTTGCTACAAGTTACATTTTGAATTGTGTGAAGACAATTCATTTTTGCAAAGGAATATTAGGCCCTTTTGTGCAGCATCAGGCCAAAATGTGGTTTAATCTGGCCCTGGCCAAGGATCCACGTGGACCCATGCTCAAACATGGAACACAAATCACACAGAAGCTCAAAGAAGAAGCTTGGGATTTCCTGGAGCAAGACACCCTTTGCAATCTCATGAAGAAGTACTCCCAATTCATCAACTTTGCAATCTACTTGTAATTGTCCAGGACGGAGATGGTTGATGACGAAGTGTTGGAGGAAGATGAAGAGCAGGTGAAACCAGAGAAAACGGAAGATGAAACAGAAACTGATGTTGAGGAGGAGAAAGAAGAGGCGAAGCCGAAAACTAAACAGGTGGAGAAGACAACTTGGGACTGGGAATTCCTCAACGACGCAAAACCTATTCGTATTCCAAAGCCCGCGGAGATGATGGAAGACATAGGGAATATGAGGATTTCTACAAACAGTTCTCTGACTTGCACGCATTTCATCTAAGGCGAAGTTTCCTTCAAAGCTCTGCTCTACGTTCCCAATGGACTTCCAAATGAAGCGTTCAATTCATATGGGGAAAAAACCGACAACATTAGGCTGTATCTGTGCGACGAGTTTTCATCACTGATGATTTCCAAGAGCATGATGCCGATTTACTTGTCATTCGTCCTCGGTATCGTTGATTCTGAAGATCTTCCACTGAATGTGTCTCGAGAAAACCTTCAACAGCATAAGCTTCTCAAGATAATCAAAAAGAAGCTTGTTTGGAAGGCTTTGGACATGATGAAGAAGCTTGCAGGATGAGAGGATATACGGAGAAGTTCTGGAAGGAATATGGAACTCAGTGAGTAAATCTTTGCGTTCTATGGCCCTTATACTCTTGAGTAATTCAAAGCTAGATTCAATAATCAGAGAGGTGATGTTCACTTTTTCCAATGTTTTCACGCCTGGAGCCTGTAAATGTTCTGTGAATCCAACCTTCATGTGACAAGATGATCCTTCCATTTACAAGATGGCTGATTCTTTCTCAGTGATTGAGTGGTTTGGATCATATTTTAGGCTTGCATGATTAATTTTGTTCAGTTCGCTGTGAAAAGACGTTTTTCACGAGAATTGGTCGATCGTATTACTATCTTAGAATTGAAGTTAACCTCCCACCAATGTTCTGATTTTCAAGGAGTTTAATCTCGTAACTAATGCATGAAAAATGCTATTACTTTCCTGACACCAAATAGATTAAATTGATGGGAGTTTTTTGTATCTTTGCGGGAGAATATGAAAAAGGTCCTTCGTATGGTTCACTGCTGATGATGAAAGGAATGTGTCGGATTCCGTTGAATAGTTTGAAAGTATTGGATGAACGATCTAAACAAACAGGTGATATTAATAATTTTGATTGTACGACTGTATAGGTTGAAGCTGAGCCAGAGTTCAGTGCTTGAGAGCCGTAAGAAGATGTCAAGGAGGATGAAGAGGAGATCTTTGGGGATGATGAAGATCATGCGCACACCGAGCTTTGAGCCCATTCCGTAACGACACCTGTGTGAATATTACAGGCACGGTTTTCGTTCACTGGTCTCCTGTACTTTCCCCTGGCTCTCAGCTCAGTCAGGAAACTCTCAAAATGTGATGAGTGATGATCTCTTCTCTTACTTTTTTGGTTATTGGTATCTTGGTGAAATTTCTTTTTCTGCTGTGCCCCAAACAGGGTTGATAATCAAGTATACTGGCAAAATGTTTACACTACCACTACCCTACTTACAATTTTTCTCACTACCCCTACCACATACCCTTACTAAAAAAAAAAAAATTTGCACTACCACTACCCATGTGGAAAAATACATCTTTGCACTACCACAGTCACTATAGTGGCAGTGGTAGTGCAAGTGATACATTCTTAAAAAATATAGTGGTAGTGGTAGTGAACATAGTTTGAGGAGGTAGTGCTGGTAGTGCTGGTATACCAGCACTA